CCCCCCCAAATTCCCTGCAGTCGATGGCGGGTTTGCTACGGGGGTCTTGGGGATGATGCAGGGGCTGGAGGTGGGATCTAGGGGGGGGTGAGGTGTCTGTCCCCTCCTTCCTAACACTGCACCCCCCCTCAAGAAAGCCCCTGGATAGGAGAGCTGGGGAAGGGCGACGGGGAGAAGATCTAGCCCAGGACAGTGGGGGCACAGGGAGACCCGTGGCCATCCCAGAGCATCCAGATGCTTCCCACACCTTCCAAAGAGACCAGCTTCTCCATCTGGAGGAGCTGTGGCCATGCCACCCTCCATGTCCTGAGGGGCCACAGACCCAGCACGGGGGGCATTTACAGCAGGACAAAGCCTTTCCCCCAACATTAAGTTCATGCAGAGGGTGTCCTACGACCCATCTTGGGATGCCAGTGAGACCCCAAGGGAGACAGGCTCCAGGGAGGAGGCCAGGAGCCTGGAGGACCATGGCCAACTGGTGGGATGAGCCGGCTGGAGCAGCCCCCATGCCCAGACCCACAGTGGGGGGGCAGACCCACACATCAGAAGGTGTCTGTGCAAGGGCTCTGCTCGCTGCCTTTCCACAGCTGGAGCCATCACCCGTGCCCAGCACCGGGAGCAGAGGAGAGGCTGCACCTTCCCCATCCCCCAATTCCCTGAAGGCCAAGAGGCTCCAGTCCAAGAAAAACCAAAAACCTACAATTATGCCTGAAAAACCCAAGCCTGCCTCCCTCTGAGGGAGTGCCGGCAGCACCCCACAAAGCCCCCCAAGCCCTCGTGGGTGGCAGGGCAGGATTTCAGGTCCTCATGCCCTGGCAGCTTGGGGCGGGGGGGGGGGGCTGGACCCAGCTGTGCCCATGTGGGTGAGATCCACCCCCCCTGCAGGGCTCTGGCACCCCACACCCCACACCGCAGCCGCACACGCGCCCCAAGACTCGTCTTGTCCCCTCCCTGCCCTTCAGATGGGTTTATGCTGCACCCACAAATAAATCCCAGCATGGTTTTGTCTAAATGCAACAGCCTGGAGCTGCGCTGGGGGCGGGGCGGGGGGGGCTACAGCTCTGCAAGGGGGTCACAGATGGGGGTTGAAACACAGATTTCCTGAAAACCCCTTCCCTATGGATTTCCTGTGGCTTTGTGGTGTCCCCCCTGAGCCCACATGCTCCCAGCCGTGCCCCCCACTCCCAGAGCTGCATCCCCCCCCCCTCACTGCGGCACCAACGTGAGGCTGGGGGGCAAACTGGCCACGGCTGCTGCCAGCATCACCCCAGCCCTTGCTGGTGGGGGTGGGAGGGGGGTCTATGCCCTGGAGTAGAGCCCCCCATCGCCAACCCAGCATGCCCAGGCGCACTCCCATCACCGCATTTCCAGCTCAGCGCCCCCCCCACCCCCTCCCTGGACCCCTCTTTCCAAAATGCCTCACTCCCAGTCAGCCCATCCTCTCCCCCCATCCCTGTGGGGGAGGCGGGGAGCACACCTCGGTGGGGCAGGGGAGAGGAGGGGTCTGGCAGGGCCCCAGCAGAGCAGGGAGGAGGCCGCCAGCGCTCTGCCCCCGGGACCCTCACGCCCACAAAGGGCCCTTTGTTGCCGCAGCCGGGGCTAGAAAGGAGCCATTGAGCAGGGGAGGAGGCTGCTTTCTGCCGGGCAGCACCCCGACCCCGCTGTTTGGGGGTGTAATGGGGAGATGGGGGGAGCCCAGGGACCCCATCCTGTGGCTGGAGGCAGGGGAGAGGTGCCAGGGCCAGTCCCAGCTGGGGACAGGGCTGGTACCCACTTCGTGTCTCACCACCCCCACCTCGGGATTGTTGGGATCGTGGTCCCCAGTGCCCTACATCCAGGGATGGGCGACGCCGGCCATCCCAGGGACACGCAGCCGGGGCTAGAAAGGAGCCATTGAGCTGGGGAGGAGGCTGCTTTCTGCCGGGCAGCCCCCCGACTCCGCTCTGTTTGGGGGTGTAATGGGGAGATGGGGGGAGCCCAGGGACCCCATCCTGTGGCTGGAGGCAGGGGAGAGGTGCCAGGGCCAGTCCCAGCTGGGGACAGGGCTGGTACCCACTTCGTGTCTCACCACCCCCACCTCGGGATTATTGGGATCGTGGTCCCCAGTGCCCCACGTCCAGGGATGGGCGACGCCGGCCATCCCAGGGACAGGCAGGAGGCTCCAAGCCAGGAGCTGACTTGGCACTCGTGGGACAGCGCTGTCCCCAAGGCTGGACCAGCTCCAGCTCCAGGGGAACCACAAAAGCCCCGTGGCCCCATCCCTGCTCCCCTGATGGGGTTGGGAGGGGATCAGCCTCCATCCCTGCTCCCTCCCTGGCTCCGGGTGGAAAACGAGCTGCTTTTTTCCATGAGCTGCAGCCGCTCCCTGCCCACATCCCGCATCCCACATCTGTCCCAGCTGGGGACAGGGCTGGTACCCACTTCGTGTCTCACCACCCCCACCTCGGGATTGTTGGGATCGTGGTCCCCAGTGCCCTACATCCAGGGATGGGCGACGCCGGCCATCCCAGGGACAGGCAGGAGGCTCCAAGCCAGGAGCTGACTCGGCACTCGTGGGACAGCGCTGTCCCCAAGGCTGGACCAGCTCCAGCTCCAGGGGAACCACAAAAGCCCCGTGGCCCCATCCCTGCTCCCCTGACGGGGTTGGGAGGGGATCAGCCTCCATCCCTGCTCCCTCCCTGGCTCCGGGTGGAAAACGAGCTGCTTTTTTCCATGAGCTGCAGCCGCTCCCTGCCCACATCCCGCATCCCACATCTCACATCCCGCATCCCACATCCCGCATCCCATATCCTGCATCCCCGGTGGCCTCCTTATCAGCTCGGCGGGGGGAAAGGGCTGTCTGGCTGCAACCGCTTCCTCCGGCGGCTGGGTTTTTTGTTTTTTCTTTGGGCTGCCATCTCGGTAACCTTGGGACAAGGCCCTTTCCCGACGGGAGAAGGGAGGGCGGGTGAACCCCACAGAGGGCTCTCCAGGCTGCCGGGCGGGAGAAACCGGGTGAAAACGGGCAAAACGGCCTGAAAGGAGGATGTGCAGCCCCTGCGCACCCCTCCCCACCGTGTTTTGCTTGGAAAAGGGCCGGGCACAGCCCAGAGCCCCCTGTTGCTGGGGAGATTTGTGCTCCCCCCCC